TATTGAGTATTTCAGTGATTTTTTCAACGAGATCTGTATCTGATTCCTGTATATTGTTTATATTTGTGGAAGCTGTTTCAATTCTGTTAACGTATTGTTATTTCAGATTTTCCGTTTCTTCGAATTTCATTGTGATTTCTGCTTGTTCTAGTTTGTCTACTAGTTTTCGAAAATCTAAATCGGGTTCTCGAATTGACGAAGGATGGGATGCTCTCTTTTTTATTGCTATTTTCCTTAATTGTGGTGTTAAGGTCATCATTAAGATTTCTGTCATCTTTGTGTTTTTATAGTCATGTGTATTTAATGAATATGCTTTTCGAACTAGTGTTTCGATTCGTACTGCTAATTGCTTGATGGTTTCGTTTGGTAATCTGCGAATTTCATTACATAAAACTCTGTGTTGTTGTTTGTTTCTTTCGGAGTCAAACATTTTTGAAAATTCTTGTGTAAATCTTTTCCAATTTGATTTTATTTCTATAGGCAATACTGAAAACCATTTTTGGGCTGCGCCATCTAGAGTTGTTTGTATTAACGCTGTGCGTCGATGTATCCAGTTTTGATGTAGTGGCGTATTAATTGGTTCAGGTCCTATATTTAAAATCAAATTTGCTGACTGCATTTAAATAGTCTTCTACAGAATATTCAGGGTCTGTTCCTGTGAATACCATTAAAGGTTTATTTGATGTTATTGATGATCCACCCATAAGGTATGGATTCATCGTCATTTGTAATGATTCTGCTGCATTTGGCATTTGAGAAAAATTTGAAAGTTGATTTCTTGTTATTTCGTGTTGTTGAAGATAATATGGGAGTGGTATTTCATTTTGCATTTGTGCTGGTTGGTACGAGTTTGCAATCATTGGGTTTTGTTGCTGAATTGGTTGAAAAGATTTATTAATTGGGTTTTGTTGTTGAATTGGTTGTTGAGTTTGTGTATCTATTGGTTGTGGAGAAAAAATTCTATGATATGTATGTGGTTTCTGTATTCCTTGTCCACGATATTCTTGATTATAGGGTGTAAATATATCTGGTTGTAAGAAATCATCATCTGAGGATAAGTAATCCATTTGATAAGATGTTTGTTTTTTATTTTTATTTTGTTGAAAAAATGGATAGTTTTCACTACGATCCTGTGGAGGATGTAAATTTGTTTGGAAATTTACTGAATTAGGTGGTGCCATTGGGTTATCCCAGTTTCGAGATCTTGAATAATTACTAAAATTTTTTCGTGGTTGATAATTTGTTTTTGATGGATGTGTGTAATTATAATTATGGTCTGCAAAGTTGTTTCTAGTGAACGTTTTGCGTGTTTTTGGCGGTATTGTCATGGGTCTGTATGTTTGGTCATCCATGTGTGAATATTTTGGAGCAACCGAAGGTTTAACGGTTGATTGTAATGTTACCTGTGTTTGTGAAGAATTTGTATTTCTTGGTGTTGTTAAGTTTGGACGTATTGGTGAAATACTTTGTTGTGTAGTTGTTGTGTGTACGATTTCTTCATTTATGAAGTGTGATGGTGTCTGGATATCTTGTTGAGTAAGATTCCTAGTTCCATTGAGGTTTTCATTGTGTATGACTGTAGAGTTTAAACTATTATTTTGCATATCGGGTAAAAATGTATTATAGTTTAATGGTGTTGCATCAATGGTTAATGGTATTACTCGTACATAATCTCTTACATAAGATATCGTACTTATTGCTTGACTTGAGATTGATTGTGGGAAGTTTATGAATGCGGGATGAGACCATTCGGGGTCCCAAACATAGTCTGATTGTTCTGTGATGGCAGTATCACCGTTTGAGTTTTGGGGTCTAAAATTTTTTCTTGCTTGTGAGATTAAATCAATATTATGTGTGAAATAATCTATTATGAACCATGCCAAGATTTTTTGTAAGTCGTGTTTTGTATGTTGTGAAACTTCATCTTTCGTGAAATTTTCTTTAATTATATTTAGAAAACTAGAGAGTAGTGTGATTTCATGTCGTACTCTTATATGTTTAGATGTTTCTGTCGGTGAGACATTTGGTATCTGGATTTCGTTTTCTAATATCGAGATATAACTATATATTATCGCAAAAACTTCATTGGTGAATATGGAGTTTGCTCTTTGTGAGTTATGATATTGGATGCTTTTTATATATTCTGAGAATACTTTTGAGAATTCTAAATCAAGGTCGTCTGTTTGAATTATATATTTACTGTGATTCTGGTTTGGTGAGCTGAATTCTATGGAGTAGATTCCGTATTGTTGTGTTAGGTTACATATATCTTTTAGATAGTGATCGATAATTTGTCTTTTGATTTTTACATCTGGGAACTCTGTTTTACATGGACTGATTCCGGGTTCAAACAAATTTAAGAGTAAATTTTTGCAGAATATATGCTGTCCTCTATCAGTGGTTGCATCTACGATAAAGGGGAAAATATCATCATCATCTGGACTTTCTTCACCTGGAGTGTGCGTTGAGCTCATTTTTTCGTTCGATGACTGTTAATATGTAATTATCAATGTGTCTAATTGGTTGATTCCAATTGTATAAATGTACTGGTTTGTGTTTATACTGCTTTTTTATTCTTCTTTTTCCTCTTTTTGATGAATTTGAAGTTGTTTCTGAGTCAGAGAAATATAATTGATCGTGAATTGGGCAATTTTTATCTATTGATTCTTTTAGTTTATAAAGTTCGTCTAAACTGTTGGTTTCTGATTCTGAAAATGCGTTTCGATTTTTTGAAAATCTTTTTCGTGTTATTTGTCTTTGTTTCGTTATTATTTTTCTCTTTAATGTTTGTCGTTTTGTTCTAATGTATCCAACTGTTTGCGATGAGGTGTGATTACAAGGTCGTATTTTTTGTTATTTATTTCACAATTGTGTAAAACGATTGTTTGTTTATTTCCTAGGTTTTTAAATGACATAAGGTTTAGGATGACGGATGCAAAAGGTTGTTAAATGATTTCTATTTGCTTAAACTGTTAGTCCTTACGATTTTTTTGTTAGCCTAACCTGGGTCTATTTGTTCAGGGTTGGGGAGAAAAGTATATCGATTCCGAAGAATGATTTTATACTTTCTCGTGGCTAGTATAAGCTAAGGTGTTAACTTACTTAATCTTACTTAAGGGTAGTGATTGTGTTCAGGGTTGGAGAATAGTAAATCGATCCACAGGGTTCAGGTATAATTAGAACGCGAGTAGTTCGTTAGATACTATTTTAAACTTACTAAGTCTAAGATTTATCCTGGGTCTGGTAAGAGGGGGGATCAAGTGAAGGATGAATAACCGAAGTTCTTCACTGTTTATCCTAATTTGAATGATTAGTTTTGTTCAAAAATTTCTATTAGTCCTGGGTTTTTAGAAAGGGTTGGATAGTGAATCGACGTTTGAGGTCGTTAGACACTCGTTTAGTGGGTGGGGGAGAACAAAGTTGTTCTTTTTGATCCAAGGATAGGCCTTGATGATCAAGTTTTAAATTTAATTAAATAGAAAATGATTTAAGATCCAAGGATAAGCCTTGATGATCTGATTTTAAAATTAAGTGAATTTAAGTTTAAAATGTTTTAAATTTGTGTAAAGAATAGATTTAGTATTTTTATGATATTAGTGAGCTTATGATTGCTGTTATGTTTAGGCGATGAAGCTGGAACAACAGGATGATTTATAATTACTAATCATTTATTGTCATGCTACTAATTTTTATTTTGATTTTTCAATAAATATTTTTCAAACATGTTTTGTATATTACTGCAGAATTTTGGAAAACGATCTGAGATCTTTTTATCAATCGTTATTGTATATTAATAATTTTGTTTAGCGCCTGAAATGATTTTGAAGATTGACTTCAAAATTTTATGTTTGCAAATGAAAATCTAAATTCATTGCTAGTAGTATTCTAAATACAAAAGTTTGTTCTGGCTTTTGCCGAACTATCATATAACTATATGGTAAGTTTCTGCTTTGTCGTATGTCGTCTCTGGTTCGAGGTCTTCTTCCAATTCCGGGTAGTTCTGTTATCGTTCGGAATATTGGCTCTGATCTATTGAGTCGTAGAGACATTTCGATTAAATTATTGTCGTATAACATTTTGTAAATGTTTTGTCTAAATTCTAATCTATTATTGGTTAATGCTAAGCTATTAAGGTCTTGTTCGAGACTTATGGTCGCACCAGATGAGTTATATTCGATGGGTATAACTCATAGAGTAATTTCGGATAGGGTACACCGTCTGCTCGTCACGCTATCTTATTTTCGGCCGGATAGATTCGTGCAACTTCTTAGTCTAATACCGATCCTAATCTTACTCTTATACTATCTAGTCTCAGGTTGTTTAACTAGTCTCTGCTAGGCTCAATAGATCTAGGGTATACTGGTTTATTGCGGCTGCTGAAGTACTCGGGAGAGTTCAACTAATTTCTAAGTTAAATTCAAATCTCTCTGGTGCTGAAATTACAAGTAATTTCAGCACTTACAAATAAGTGGATTGTTAGTTAGATGGATCATGATTGGTTAATATTAAATACTTTACATTGGTAAAATATCTAATTTATCCAATCATAAAATGTAGTTTAGATCAGGTTCCAATATCTTGCAGATGTCGTACTTATATTATACTAGGCTTATAAAACACAGAACACACACACACGCAAAAAAAAACAGATATCTATCATTGAGTTTTGCACGGAGATATTTTGGTGCACTTTTTTCATCATCAGTGCATTACCAGTTTATGAATGTCCCGTCTCGTCTCGTCTCGTCTTCTATTCGAGATACTTAAATGGTCCCCTCTTAGTGTCCTAGTATACATACATTGTGCAGTACGTATTTCGCAGGGGTCGATGTATATTTCGATAATGAACGGGGAGGGAGGATTCTAGTAAGCTCAACTGGGGTTGGGATTTTTTGGACAAAAAGCGTTTTTTTCTAGCGTGAGGGGAGTAGTTTGGTTCAAAATGCACTTTTAAATGAATTGCTTCAATTCCAACTTCTTTTCACTACTATTATACTTACTGGTTTTGCAGACCATCGAAGACACTTCGCTATCAATAGGCTCCCTGTCCGTCCCAGTGTGATTATACTTCACTTTAGCATAGATGGTGTAGTCAGTTGCAGCCGATAGTGATTCGAATGTTCTAGTTCTACTGCTGTCCAGGTCCCCGAATGTGGTAAGGGCGCTTTGGTTTGAGATGGAGAACGCATACTGGTAGAAAGTTGCCGTTCCATCCGTAGGAAGCTCTACTGTTATTTCACACGAGGAAGAAGTTTCGGTCGATATCGTGAAGTTCAATGGAAGTGGCTCTAATCAAAACTCGCTTTGAGAGTTATCAAACCGCAGTAAGATCATCGAAATCACCAGGCTATTTTTAAAATTCTAACTTAACAGGATGCCCACTCTGGCGTTTTTTTTTCAAAGCTTTATAAAAAAATATATGAAAAAGTACTAAAATAAAACCATTTACCCTGTAGGGAAAGGGAAAACATGCGAGCTATTTTGCCTATAACGCCGAATCGCTATTGTTCCCCTTTATAAAGACCTTCATGCAATATTTTCTGGGCTGAGAACTGTTGCTTCACTATCAAGCAATAAGAACGGATCATGGTGGGATTGAACCAGTGACCTTCCAACATCATGTGACCTTTCAAAAAAAGCGGAGCCCATATCCACTCGCACGTCGCTCCAAAAACTGCAAGGGGACCTTACCAAAATTCGACCACAGGTGCAGTTATCTTGCTGATAACTAACCTGTTACAATATTTTTGATCGCAAACTCGTCTCCCGCTATTTGATCGCAGTAAGGCGTGATTGTGAAATTGTACATTGTCGCCGGCGTCAAACCAGAGACATTGAGGGTCGCATCGGTGTTCGATTCCAGAAGTATCTCGAAGTCAGACACTTCTTCTGAAGAAATGACTTGTACTGTGTATGTGGACCAATAAGTGTCTGCCTCATTTCCTACTTGGACTATCTCCAGTAAGGTAGGTTCCACCAATTCTCCTATTACCGCTGCAGTGAAGGCCAAAGGTTCTAAACAGATTGATCAAACCGACTATACTTGTCTTTTAATCAGACCAAGTTTAGTGTCACTTTTGAAGCTTTTTAAATGCTATTTGAAGCTACAATTTTTGTGCCTTTACTATTCCAGAGAGCGTACTGTGCCTTCCATTCAGCGAAGGAATTCGGAATAGTCGTCCTAAATGCAAATCATAAGTCAAACCCGCCAGAATATAAATTTGGACGTGATCAAAAAAAATTGTACTCTGAAATCATAGCCAAGAGACAGTTGGAAATTAGCTAAATGAAAACAAGTAAACAACAACACAAGTAAACAAAAACACAAGTAAACAAAAAAATTCAAAAAGATAGATGTCCTCTTAAAGCTCTTTGAATTTCTAGAACAATTTATGATTAACACTTTTTTGAGTTAGATTGATCTACCTAAATTGAGAAAACTGTATCAATAGGTAAATTTTTGATTCTGCTGTGAAATCTGAAAACTAAATTCCACTTCCACAACTAGAAGTCGATCAAGTTTCTGGTGGCCTTTAGACTTTTTTTGTTCAATAGTGGAGTTTACTTTCCTTTGAACAAAGGAAATGAACTGAATTCAAAAAGGAATCTTAAGTCAAGCTGCGTTAAAGTAAATTTGAGCCGGAACCTATATAAAACCTATATAAAAGCCACCTATATAACATACAAACCTATATAAAAGTCTGACTTAATTTCATTGACTATTGCCTCAATTCAATTAGAAACGATGCAAGTGTCACAATGCTTGCGTTCAATCTTTCGAAAGAAACAACTTGCGGAACTTCAAAACTCATAGAAGCAAAAAAATACAACCCAACCTGGTAGCCAGTTGCCGGGTAATCAGCACACACTGTTCCGACACAATAAACTAAGTAAGCTCAGCAAAAACGAGGAAGATTCGAAAAAATATAGAAAAATGTTTATCTAGGCGTTGCGTTGTGGCTTCAATTAGATACTATTCTGCCGATTTCGATGATTATGGCTAAAAATTAGAGTTATATAGAAAACCATCAATTTTCTCACTGATTAAAGAATACGAAAAGTGTAAATTAGAATGTGAACAAAGATTAAGAAAAGATAAGACCAATTTTTCTCGACACTGAGACAACCATTTCGTGTTTTCTTTGGAATCCAAATCACGACCAATAGGGCTTAAAATGATATTGCACTTGAACACTTACGAGCTTTTTTCGGGATGGTCAAATATGGGGAACACACTGGCTAATCTATAGCTCCTTTTCGCAAATTTCAGAGACGCGGTCAGAACAAAAAAGCTCCAAAATCGTTCTAGCAATAAATTAAGTCTTCTTCAATTATTCTTTTTCTTAAGAAAATAGTAAACTATCTTACTGGTACACTGATAGACGATCTCGTCCTCGCTTTTTGTTTCGTTTGGAGTGTCACCTTCAACCACACAGAAAGAAGCAATTTTTATCTCGTGTTTGCATCCTGGAACCAAACTATCCACAGCTATAGCTGCCGAGCCGTCAGTAATAGTCGAGTTTCCCCATACTTCGGCATCAGGGGTAGCTGTTTGGTTACACCTGATGCTAATCGAGTACTTGGAGGCAAATCCACTCGCAACAGAGATGCCAGCAATTGAGAAGGCGGCAGTCTCTATTGCAGATATCGCACCCAAGTTCGGCGGAACTGGTTCTTAAACATATCAGTGGTAAATTCATTTCAATTTTGAAAAAATCTCAGACAACATCAAAAAAATATGTTTATACTTAAAATTTCTATAACTAATGCTGAATTTTTCGTTTTATATTCTCAATGATTGTTGAAATCCGTCCGAACTTCTGTCAATGCATTAAAAAGTAGCACCAAAAAGCAAATTTAATTCACACGAATGTGCAGTTGCATTGTGGGCTTCGAAAGTTTTTATTTTCCAGGTTCGTATTACGTAATTATTATTCCAAGTTCGTATTACGTAATCAAATTATTCACTGGTTTGCAGATCACAGCCGTATTTTATGTAACAATTTAACTGGCACTTACTTGTGCAGAAGGTGAAATTTGCCTGAGCTCCCACTTTTGCCGAGGAGGCATCACTGCCGAAGTAACATCTCAAACTCACGCCCACAACATATGGACACCCTGGACTCAAACCAGTTATATTAAAAAGGTCCGAGTCAAATTCCAGACCAGGTCTGCTGACACTGTTATCCGCCTCACACCACGCATTCACTTGTAAGTCTACAAACGAAGAACCGTCAGTAACTGACACACTCTTCACTTCCAGCGTATCGGTCACGGTCGGGTCAGAAACATTCATTCCACTTATAACATCAGGAATAGTGCATAGTTGACGATCCACGTGACTTGCCGAATTGTACTCGATTGATTCCTCTGAGCTCGCATCTGTTTCGCAAAACGGCTGAATCGTTACATCATAAGGACAGCCTCTGATCAAACCTGTAATTTGGCCAGTTGAAAACGGAGCTTCCGCAGTTACACCTGGGATGACTGCTGATTTGTTAGTACAGACATATCCTGGCGAAGTCATCGAAATTCTCACAGAGGCTTGACCTGCAGTGACCTTAATATTTCCAAAATCCACTAAATTGGTGGGATCACTCGTAAAGTTCAAGTCGGTTGCATCCAAATTTTCGGGTCCTGGAAGAAAAATGTTTTGAGTGTCTGAATCTACACATACAAACAAGAGTAAAAAAAGGCAACAATTGGATTTTTTTTGCCAAATAATTTTTTGAGGTGCAGCCAACAAACGCGAAGACTAAAATAATCTTTTTAACTAAATGAAACAAATACATTCGCACATTTAAGCAGGTCATTGTAGCAATCTGTATCAAAATCATTCAATGAAACCTACTTGTGCATTGCTTTTCTGAGAGTGGCGCCCCTTCTACCTTGCCCGCGTCGTCGCCTGTTCCGTCAGGTTGGCAAAAACTAGTCGCGACCACGTCATAAATACATCCAGGGATCAAACCAGCAAAACTAACATTACCTCCTGTCAGCACAATGTTATTCACAGCAGTTAACTCACATGGTGCAGCACCAGAAACAACCACTTTATGGCCTGTGAATTTGCCATTAGCCACTGACATGTTTGTGAGCGTGAAATCATTTATTCCCACTGTTGTTTGGTCATCTGGTATAGTAGCTACTTCCGGTTTCAGACAAAAATCAATGGTTGCAGATTCGGAATCCTCATTGGTTGAAAAGCGAACAGTAGTCGAGATATTATGTACACTTCCCGGAGGTGTAATACCAGTGATTATCCATGCTTCATTTAGAGGAGCTGCTTTAGGATCACTTTCAACGTCATCGACCGAGTAAGTGTAGGACGTGACAGTGACTCCTGAGCTCCCTGCATCTATCGGAGCAATTAGTGTCACACCTTCTAAAGTTTCAGAGCCATCTTGAATTTCAACTTCATGCTGCGTGCAGTACTTGTGGCCAATAGGCGACCCATATAAAACTCCACATTGCAAAACAACTTCAATCGTGTGACAAGATCCAGGCTCAAGTCCAGACACTGTTTTCACGTATTCGCTTGGAATATCTGGATTTACAAACCAGAAATCTTCGAACATTCCAGAGCTATCCAACTGATGGATTCCTGTCAGAGTTATGCTGGTGGTGTCAAAAGTGAAATTCGTCTTCGGCTGCACCTCGTTCGGGACTAAAACAAGAATGGGAACACCGAACACAATTGAGAAGACGGTTTCGCCCCTCAATAATATTTCGCGCTGTCATCACATTTAGTTCTACTTGCAAAGCAGTTAACAACAAAATTCCAATTTCCGATATTTGAAACACTTTCTTCCTTGCTTAATGCAAAAAATCTAACTTTTCCTCATCGGCATATTTTACGAGAAGCATTGAAGACGGTTTTTTTCAAGAATAATCAACGGAGCCATTCGAATTTTGAACATGGTATCACTTAAGTTTGGCTTTTGCACCAACTAACTTGTAGTAGGGGGGATACAGATTAGTTGTTTCAGGGAGTCAGTATTTGCAACAACCTATGACAGGATTAGAACGGAGGCTGAAGAGAACAAAGATTAGAAAATCTTATTCAAAAAGAAAACAGAAAACGAACCAAGTGAGTGAACAGATTGTTATGGACCAATCTAGCACCCCTTTACTATTTCAGAAAGTTCGCTGGTATCATTACTCCTAATTAGTTGGAAATTTGAGAAGAATGATTGAGAAAAGAGAAAAAGTTGCTTTGCAAAAATGCATCAGAAAAGAATAGAGCGTAATTTGTGAGGATAATCAGTTTGGTCGGGTTATTTTTGAATTTCCATAGCATCGCCCTCGCAAATATCAAATTTTATACGAAGAGCATATCCAATTCACACATAAACGTTTTATGCAAAATACAGCGTGTTCAAGCCATGTTTTGGACACGTATTCAATTTCAGCCTATCAGATTCAATTTCTTTTACTTTAACGAATATGGGCGGAATGAGTCAAAAGACCCGCAGCGTTTTTTAGTTTCCCGCCTGTTTTGTGCTTAATCGGTATTTCACGCAACATTTCAGGGTCAAAGGAAGCGTTGCGATGAGACCAAGAAATTTTCAATTCTGCCATCATTATCAGAAAAAACTGTTACGCAAGTATTTTTAAAAATCTAAATTGAAGATTGCAGTTCAGAGAGTAGTTTAGACTGAGCTATGGGATAACAATTTCAGATGGTTAATAAAGGGAAGAAGACAAGATCTACAATCCAAACAGAAACCAAAAATGATTAGAAATACCTGGTGAAGGTGCTTTAAAATAGAAAAGCCACATAACATTACAGCTACTACAGAGCCTTCCGTTCACTTCAAAAACCCAGGCAAACACTCTACCACGCTATGTATTAACACTAGCATATCTTTATCCAAACAAACTTTGAACCATATTTACATCAAAGCCAATGGGAATTGGTAAATGCAACTTCATTTGAAGTTTTGGCAGAGTCTTTTCGAAATTAAAACTCATCAGCTCTGGAGGTTGACACATCTGTGAATAGGGGTTCGAATCCCTATAGGGGGTCATCAGCTGTGGAGGTTGACACCCCTTTGGTACTTTTTAAGAAATCCATTTTTGGTCGACCGACCCTAAAATTTTTCTAAAGGCGCCTTTGGCGCCAATATATACTATTTTTTGAAGGGGAGCGCACGCCAAAAAATGCAATTTTTTTGTCAAAATTTCTCAAAAGGTGCCCAAAAATTTGGCCAAAACAGAGTCTTTTTAGTGCTTTAGGAGAGATCAGAAAGTCAATTTGGTCTACCTAAAAAAAGTCCAAACAAACTGTGAACCATATTTACATCAAAGCCAATGGGAATTGGTAAATGCGAACTTCATTTGAAGTTTTGGCAGAGTCTTTTCGAAATTAAAACTCATCAGCTCTGGAGGTTGACACATCTGTGAATAGGGGTTCGAATCCCTATAGGGGGTCATCAGCTGTGGAGGTTGACACCCCTTTGGTACTTTTTAAGAAATCCATTTTTGGCCGACCGACCCTAAAATTTTTCTAAAGGCGCCTTTGGCGCCAATATATACTATTTTTTGAAGGGGAGCGCGCGCCAAAAAATGCAATTTTTTTGTCAAAATTTCTCAAAAGGTGCCCAAAAATTTGGCCAAAACAGAGTCTTTTTAGTGCTTTAGGAGAGATCAGAAAGTCAATTTGGTCTACCTAAAAAAAAGTCGTCAAAATATTCGAGATCCGCCCCTGTAAAAAACCCTAGATCCGCCCCTGCATCAAATGCAACCGATTTCGAACAAAGTTCGTCTTAGAAAACAACCATCTAGACCATTGCTTACAATATGCGCCAAAAAAAATTGACGAGAGATTGGGGGGGGGGGGGCATTGGCTAGGGTTAACAATATCCACATCTGTCCATTCTTACTTATGCATGAAGTGAGGTTGACTTCGGCACTGTAGATTCTGTTCGATGGCGCAGCTTCATCTTTTCCACATATCATTCGAACTTTGAAAGTGTAACTGCAGCCAGCTCTTAGCAAGCTATCAATTACACAGACAACTTCATCCTCAGTTCCAGTACACATTGGGTACTGTTCATCTTCGGCTGTACTTTCACAAATGGGTTCTACAGCTATGACTGAATTGGGATTACCAGTCGGCTTAGTTATCATCAGATTGATTGAATTGGTCGTGATGGAGTCGGCTGCCACTGTTACTGCAGTTACTTTATCGGGTTCTGGGAAAAAACCATTAAAGTCAAACCAAGTCGAAATCACACAGGTGAACAAAAACGCTCACGCATCAAAAATTACGACTGGATTTTCAAAGCATGTCCACTGAACAAAAACGAAGCCTTCATTTGAAAATGCTGAAAAAACCTGACTCAAATGTTAACTCAAATATTAACTTTCGACTTGACAATTAATCATATTTATGTTAAGTCACAATCAAAGACTGAACGAAGTTGAACACGTTAGCTCACCTGTGCATTGTTTGAAGACCAAATCATCGCCGTATACTTTAGCCTCTCCTGTTTCACAATAGCTTTTAATGGTGACGTTATGAAGACAGCCAGGACTAATCAGAGAGGTGAACTGAACAGAAGCGGAAGCTAGGTCGTCCACAGACTGTGTTGCCGCCAAACTACAACCCGATAGCTCTACTTCAAATCCTGAAGAGTCGCCAGATGTTACTGCAAGAGCAGTCAGTGCAATTGAATCCAAAGTAGCGGATGTTTCTTCTGCTGTTACACTCGCCATCTCTGGTTTCAGACAGAAATTCACAGCATCAGATTGTAATGTCTGCCCGTTGTCAAGAATTACGGACGCCGAAACGTTGTGAACAGAACCTGGTGGGTTCAAATCTGTCATTGCGAAGTCAACCGAGGCAGTTCCTGCTTGTGCACTGCTGGAATCGACTGTTATCGAGTAGGTTGTTACCGATACACTATTCGCAGTGAGCGATTGACCATCCATAGGCCATGTAAGAGTTGCGCCAGTTGTAGTTTGGGACCCCACAGTCAGGGGTATACCAGAACACAATGGTGCTGTAGCAACATCGCCCTCTAGAGTTCCGCAGAGTAAAACAATCCCAAAATTGTAACATGTTCCAGCGGTCAAGCCAGTTGCCTCGGTACTCAAAGGATCCGTTTGATCACTACCATCAATGGATTTAATCCCATAAGTATCGTACACACCGTTACTTGTGCTTGTGACTCCGGTAATAGTGATTCTGACCGGTGAAATGTCAACATCAATGCTTCCAGTGTCAATGATGGCTGGTTCTGGAAAAAAAAACAATCTAGTTGTAAAATCTAGTAAATTAGGATGAAAATTAAAATAACCTGTTAACAGCAGTTAAATAGATGAAAAAGATATGTAACATGCTTTGCGCATTTCCTGATAGCAGATATGGGTACCAGATATTTGATGTTTAACAAAAACACAAGACTAAAATAAGTGGAAATTCACTTCATCCTTAGAAAATCAACGTGTTCGACGAAGTTATAATATGTCGAAAAGAAAAAAAGAACATGAAAAAACTGCTGGTGTTCCAAACACTATCGCAAAAAAATTTAAGCTAAGGAAATATTTATCGTATTTTATAACTTAAGCAATTTACGGCGGCGTGATACTGCACGAAAACCAGCTTCCGCAAAGAATTACTGACGATGCAAAGCATTTAAATTATGCATACAAACTATATAACTCCGTAATGATTAATAAATTTCTAATCAACCACGCTTCGTTGTACTTAAGCATAGTAAGAAAATGTAACTGCAACATCCTCGACGATGGAACTGGAATCAAAACTTTAAGGGCTCAAATATGATACCTGACATTCATTTATTGTACCTGTTTACGGAATGGGTAATATTTCAAGTTTGATGAAGAGATATTTGAAGTAGGAGATATAAGGCTCAAACCACTTAGTAATTATGCTCTGCAAACGTTCGATGCGTCTCATGTCGCCTCTGGAAGCGAACCAATACGGAGAAGTGTAGCAAAGCATTGCCAAGACGGAGCTTTGTAAAAGTTGAGTTTCGCTGTATAATGGAGCAATGAAGTAAAACGTTTGGTATGCTTTTGTGATTCGCGAACTTTTTCATTCCGTGGACAAGGAGGCACAGAATATGAGTCAGAGATCACGATGAGATAGGATTACTTCTATGGGTTCGCCTAAGAGCTTTTGGAGGAGTGGAGATTTTGTCATTCAAAGCCCATGATTCTAAGTTAGGAAAGCATTCGTCAAGCTGGCGAACCAATTAAATTAGTTTCCTGACATCAGCAAACAGAAAGACCAAGGTGCGGATACATTTAAAAACCCTGGCAGGTCGTTAATATAATACAGGAGTAGAGAATCTAATTCGGGTTCCTCTGGGAAATTGCCTTAATTTTGCATGCGCTGGATATGCATTCCTCGACAAGAGCATGTTGCTTTCTGTCATTCAGGTTCTCATGGATTATTCTCAGAAACCAACCATTGACATCCGAGAAGCTTTCCGAAAGTCTAGATAAGAAGCATGAGATGACAATTTCTTCTTAATTTCGTATAGTTTTTTCAGCGACACAAATAGTTGAATTACAGATAATCGTCTTTTCTGAAAACCAAATTGATAATCAAAGAGCTGAGGATTAATAATATCCAACAATCGATCAAATATGCATTGCTTGAGTAATATGCTGGAGCATGGAACGAGCGCTACCGGTCCGTAGTTACAAATTTTGTCCTTTGATAAATATATGCGAAAGCGATGGGGCTAAAAATGAACAACATGTTTTGTGTGGAAAAACCATCTGGTCCTGTCGCTTTGAGGAGGTCTAGCCGACTTAAAATTGAAATGAATTTTTCGTGACTCGTGTCCAAATTTCCTAGAGCAAAGTAGAAGAAAGCAGAAATGGGGAAAAACCATCTGGTCCTGTAGCTTTAGTGACGTCCAGTGGAATGAAAATTGATACGAATTTCTCGTGATTTGTGCCAAAGTCTCCTAGAGCAGAGTAGAAGAAAGCAGAAATGGGAATTGAACCAAATTGAACCATCGGGTTGACTGATTGAGTTGTAATCTGATTTGAAATATATGTTGAGCATGTTCGATGTTTTACTGGGGGGTTCTAGCTGAGACAGGGCCGTTTCTTCGTACTGCTGGGAGAAGCTGAGATGAACTCACTCTCCTGAGATGTTTAAACACTGCTGAGTGTCACTGTTTCCAAAAACTTTGGTTTCATACAATCCTAAATCATCCTTGGCTTTCGTTTCTTGCCTCGATTACTTTTTCAGAGTATCTAGCAGTCTGCTTCAAATATCGTTCAGGAGTTCTGGGTTTCTTTAAAAAGTGGGAAAATTCAGGCCAAAAGCATGGAGCTAATTCAGATGCATGTTAAGTCTTTGATTGCACAAACTTGCCCAATGCTGGCTCAATCTACGCGTTACACAATTGCACAATCAGACTGGGATTTGTCCAGCAACACAGGTCGAAAGACGGAGCGTCGATTGCATTTGAAATTCCCCGGAAGTCTGCCTTTTTGAAACTTCGACGCTTTTGAACAGGTGCTTCAGAAAAACAGAGGGAGGTGTTTATCTCAACAGACTGCAGATTGTGGTCGGATAAGTTTCTTCCATTCAGCTGTGGATACGCGGCAAGGAGGACAGAAATTATGTTTTCTGGTTTGTTCGTGAGATCGACACACAAGTTATGGCTTTGTGTCGTATTGAATGTACTTAGCTGCGATAAGTTCTTTTTAAGGAAGATATGGAGGCAGGCATGTGGAACCTGATCTAAACTACATTTTATGATTGGATAAATTAGATATTTTACCACTGTAAAGTATTTAATATTAACCAATCATGATCCATCTAACTAACAACCCACTTATTTGTAAGTGCTGGAATTACTTGTAATTTCAGCACCAGAGAGATTTGAATTTAACTTAGAAATTAGTTGACTCTCCAAGAAGACTTCAGCAGCCGCAATAAACCAGTATACCCTAGATCTATTGAGCCTAGCAGAGACTAGTTAAACACCCTGAGACTAGATAGTATAAGAGTAAGATTAGGATCGGTATTAGACTAAGAAGTTGCACGAATCTATCCGGCCGAAAATAAGATAGCGTGACGAGCAGACGGTGTACCCTATCCGAAATTACTCTATGAGATAACCACCTCGGTTATAACTCATCTGGTGCGACCATAAGTCTCGAACAAGACCTTAGTAGCTTAGAATTAACCAAAAATAGATTAGAAATTAGACAAAACATTTTTAAAATGTTACACGACAATAATTTAATCGAAATGTCTCTACGACTCAATAGATCAAAGCCAATATTCCGAACGATAAGAGAACTACCCGGAATTGGAAGGAGACCTCGAACCAGAGACGACATACGACAAAATAGAAACTTACCAAATAGTTATATGATAGTACGGCAAAAGCCAACACAAACTTTTATATTTAGAATCTTATTAGCAATGAATTTAGATTTTCATTTGCAAACTTAAATCTTGAAGTCAATCTTCATGATCATTTCAGGCGCTAAACAAAATATTAATATACAATAACGATTGATAAAAAGATCTCAGATCGTTTTTCTAAAATTCTGCAGTATTATATAAAAAACATATTTGGAAAATATTTATTGAAAATCAAAATAAAAATTAGTAGCATGACAATAAACTGTTAGTAATCATAAATCTCCCAATTGTCTCAGCTTCATCACCTAAAACATAACAGCAATCATAAACTCACTAATATCATTAAAACACTAAATCTTTTCCTTAAATAAATTTAAACCATTTAAACTTAAATTCACTTAATTTTCAAATCAGATCATCAAGGCTTATCCTTGGATCTTAATTCATTTTCTACTCAGTTAAAATTTAAACTTGATCATCAAGGCCTATCCTTGGATCAAATAGAACAATTTTGTTCTCCCCCACCCACTTAGCTAGTGTCTAACGACCTCAAACGTCGATTCACTATCCAACCCTTTCAAAAAACCCAAGACTAATAGAAATTTTTCAACAAAACTAACCATTCAAATTAGGATAAACAGTGAAAAACTTCGGTTATTCATCCTTCACTTGAACCCTCCTCTTATCAAGACCCAGGATAAATCATAGACTTAGTAAGTTTAAAATAGTACCTAACGAACTACTCGCGTTCTAATTATACCTGAACCTTGTGGATCGATTTACTATTCTCCAACCCTTGAACACAATCACTACCCCTAAGTAAGATTAAGTAAGTTAACACCTTAGCTTATACTAGCCACGAGAAAGTAAAAATCATTCTTCGGAATAGATATACTTTTCTCTCCAACCCTGAACAAATAGACCCAGGTTAAGCTAACCAAAAAATCGTAAGGACTAACAATTTAAGAAAATAGAAATCATCTAACAACTTTTTGCATCCGTCATCCTAAACCTTATGTCATTTAAAAATCTAGGAAACAAACAAACAATCGTTTTGCACAACTGTGAAATTGATAACAAAAAATACGACCTTGTAATCACACCCCACACACAAACAGTTGGATATATTAGAACAAAACGACAAACACTAAAAAGAAAAATAATAACTAAACAAAGACAAATAACACGAAAAAGATTTTCCAAAAATAGAAACGCATTTTCAGAATCAGAAGCCAGCAATTTAGACGAACTCTGTAAATTAAAAGAATCTATAGATAAAAATTGCCCCATTCACGATCAATTATATTTTTCCGACTCAGAAACAACATCGAATTCATCAAAAAGAGGAAAAAGAAGAATAAAAAAGCAATATAAACACAAACCAGTACATTTATACAATTGGAATCAACCAATTAGACACATTGATAATTACATATTAACAGTCATCAAACGAAAAAATGAGCTCAACACACACCCCAGGTGAAGAAAGTCCAGATGATGATGATATCTTCCCCTTTATCGTAGATGCACCCACTGATAGAGGACAGCATATACTATGCAAGAATTTACTACTAAATTTATTTGAACCCGGAATCAGCCCATGTACAGCAGAGTTCCCCGATGTAAAGATCAAAAGACAAATTATTGATCACTATCTGAAAGATAAATGTAATTTGACACAACACTACGGAATCTACACCATAGAATTAACCTCACCAAACCCGAATCACCGCAAATATGTAATTCAAACAGACGACCTTGATTTAAAATTTTCAAAAGTATTCTCAGAATATATAAAAAGCATACAATATCATAACTCACAAAGAGCAAACTCCATATTTACTAATGAAGTTTTTGCCATAATATATAGTTATA